TGTATATGGATATTTTGTTTTTTCTGTTTTGGTTTTTGTTTTGTTTTGTTTTGTTTTCAGGCAGTGAATAACTGAAACCGTGACTACTGATCCTGTGTTCTACTGCACTGGGGAGCCAGAAGTCTAAAAAGTTCGGGAACCACTGCACTATATCTAAACCACACATTTAAAGCAGTTTGATCTGACCCGTCATGGCTCCTTCCAATGGAATTAAACAAGAACATCTAGTACAACAGTTTAGTGGATTGCAGAAGAGCTCTCTAGCACAGAATTCCAAGTACCTCGCCAAACTACGAATCCCATGATTCCTTAGGAAGCCCCTTTGGCCTCTGGATGTTCTTGGACTAAAACTCCCAGAAGTCTTCACTACTAACTGTGGTGGCCAGAATTTCTGGGGACTGTAGTCTAAGAACATCTGGGGATCCAAGACTAGGAACCAAGCCAATACAAAATACAGTAGGATCTCCGTATCTATGGGATCTGTATCCAATGATTCACTTATCCATGGTCTGAACATATAAAAAATATTAAAAGAAAAATCCTAGAAATATATGTCTACAGAGGAAGTTGCCGAAACTAGACACTAGCACAGACCTGGGCAAAGTCCGGCCTGAAGGCCACATACGGCCCGCGAGCTGCTCCTGTCTGGCCCATGGACACTTTTGAACATCAAAACCATTTATAGCTTTTTCTCTAAAGTTGATCAGTTGCTTACCTTTAACATACCGCAAAAAACCTCTTTAGTATTTGTGAAGATTAACAAGTTTAAAATTAAAACGACCATAACATCACTGTTTCATTTTATTTTTAAGTAAAGTTGGTTCGGCCCCCGAACACAGTTCAGATTTTTCATGTGCCCCCCCCATAGAAATTAATTTTCCACCCCTGCACTAGTGGGAGCCAGAGATCATGTTATCTATAGTGTTTGCTATAATCTGAATTTTCCCAGCATGGGTGGTGGAGGGGTGTGTGGAACCAATCCCCCATGGATACAGGGGTCCTGTTGTAGTCTCGAACTGGCACAGCTGTGTAGCATTCACATGCTCTTACTCCATAGTCAGCAGTCACATTCCAATGCAATGTGACACTAGTGTTGCTGAGAATTCTGGCTTATTAATCATGAATAGCCACTGCTTGGCTTCTCCCAAAAGGAACAGAAAGGCTAAACTGAAACTAATGAGGAAACAAAAATATTCCCTTACATCTAAACACTGGCTAACAAATCAAGAATGTGACACTAGTTTCAGACTTTGATTCATTAGAAGAGCAACAAATGAAGAGTCCAGTTGAAGGAATAGACTGGCGGGAAGAGACGAATAGAGAAAATTTGGAAGCTTGTGAGGGAATCCAGCCAAACACAACCATGGGTGTTATTTTTTAACATGCACAGCCCCACTAAACAGAGTAGGATGCATTTCCATGTAAACTTGAGACTATACTGTTATTTATGTCAGATTTTGGAAAAGTCAATGTATTCGCGAAGGCTTTCGCGGCTGGGATCTAATGGTTGTTGTGGGTTTTTCGGGCTCTTTGGTCATGTTCTGAAGGTTGTTCTTCCGGACGTTTTGCCAGTCTCTGTGGCTGGCATCTGGCAGATAATCTCTCCCCCCCCCCCTCCCTTATCACAACAAAAACATGCTGATCACCCTATCTCCAGAAAAAAGACAAAAGCCATTCCCACAGCTATAAATACTATCCAACAAACACCAACAGAGCATGGACAGAGTTCCTACTCCTGTCCTCTGAAGATGCCGGCCACAGAGACTGGCGAAACGTCAGGAAGAACAACCTTCAGAACACGGCCAAAGAGCTCGAAAAACCCACAACAACCATTTGGAAAAGTCACTTTTCTGGACCATAATTCCCAGAATTCCCCACCCAATAAGATTTATTCGGAGAAGATACGATATCATTTTTCAAATGCTTGAAAGAATACAGAGAAGGGGCAGAATCTGTTCTCGATCATCCCAGAGTGCAGGACACGTTATAATGGGCTCAAGTTGCAGGAAGCCAGATTGAGGCTGAATATCAGGAAAAACATCTTAACCAATTACCTTGGGAGGTGGTGAGCGCTCGAAAGCTGGAGGTGAAACATCTTAACCAATTACCTTGGGAGGTGGGGAGCGCTCGAAAGCTGGGGGTGAAAATTGGACAACCATCTGTCAAATCTGCTTTGATTTGGACACGAGGGCCTTATAGGACCCTTCCAATTCAGTTATGCTATGATTCTATGATTTATGCAACTCACAGACACTCAAGGAGCATCAAGAAGAGAGAGAAACTGACCTCTGAATGATTGTGTTCCACCAGGGCATTGGTTTCTTCTTCAGCTTGCTCTTTCACCTTCCACTCCTGCTCCTCTGGAGCCTGATCCAGATCCTCAGTTAAGTGTTCAGGTTGTCCCGCTTGCTCCATTTCCTCCTCTTCCAGCTCTTTTTTGTGCTCCTCCGCAACCTGTTCCATGTGCTCCTCCTCCTCGTCTCCCGCTTCTTGCTTCTCCTGAATATTTAACTCCCGGGGTGCATGACCTTCAATCTCTTTTCTGCCAGGATGAAACGGTTCCGCTCTCTCTTCTTTTTCTTCCATTCCTCTGTGGGCTTCTTCTCCACCTACTGGCTGCTCAGCATTTAATGTAAGCTGAAACCATAAAAAAAACTATATAGCAAATCTGCTTTCTTTCTATAACATCTCCACTGCTCAGTAGTGGAAGACTAAGACCATATCTACGTAGTGCAACACACGGTTTAGCTCCTGTAAAACTAGAGCAATTCTTTCCAGATAATCCAGGACAGGGAGGTATGGGCTATGTGGAGGAATAAAAATACAGCATAAAAGACACCCAGAATCCTTAGCTGGAAGGCCAGCATTTGGAAAATCTACCTTTCTGAACTACACAATGTCTGCCCATAGAGGTTGGGCATTTTGCTGTTTGCTGCTATTTATCCAAACCCCGAGGAAAGCCGAATCTTTTCAAGTATATAAAAATGAAATATTAGAGGGAAAGGAATCTAGGAAATGACAGACCATCAGCAAGCTGGTGTGGCTAGAGACACATCTTCTGTTAAATCACAAATGTGTCCTAAATTTACCCACAAAAATAAAAGGAAACCAGCCCATGTATTCACAGATGAAGAGGAATGTAAGTAGAATGAACAGGATAAAACCTGCAAGGTACTTACAAGATCTCTTGCAAAGTCTTATTTAATGGGGGGGGGGGACTTTCTGCATAATCATTAGCTTAAGGAAAAAGGGGATTCAGCAAATACCTGGAAGATGGACATTGCCAGATCTATTATATACAGCTTTGAAATTGAACATTTATGTGTAGATAACGATTTGGAAAATATACTTTTTGGAACGTGCTTACCAGATTCCACCTAAGCTCGGAGAACATAGGAGCTGTAATCCAAAATAAAACTTTCCCAAAGACTGCCTTTTCCCCTCCAAGTGCTTTAGATTTTAAACCCCAAAAGTTCCATTCCAGGATGGGAAGGGAATATGGGAATTGTAGTCCAGGACACTTGGAGGTTCAAATACTCCACTTGGAACCCAACTTCAAGCCCAACCATTGTGCTTCCTTAAAGCACCCAGTTTGCCACTAGTGGAATGACACACTGGGTTTGAAGGACACAGACCTGCCTCTGCAAAGAAATTCAAGAGGGGATTCTCATACATGCACATTCTGCCAAGGATCACATGCAAAAGCCAGAATTTCTTTCTCATCTGCCACAACCGTTTACTTTTCTTTGGGTTGCAACTACCCCAGCCCTGTTAGCTGGGCAATTCTGGAAGCTGGAGTCCAGAAAAATGAAAATTTTCAAAGCTCTGCATCTGCTATGATCCTCAACCCAGAGGATTCCAAAGCAGGCCATTCAGACATTCAGTCATGAATCAGTGTGTGATAAACCATCAAGCGCTTGGGACGTCAACTGGCAGACATCCATGTTCGAAATCAGCCCAAAGAAAAACAATAGTACTGTATTTCTATTTGGAAATGATCCAATTAGGCTTCAGCTGTCTGAGCAAATCTTTCATGTTTGAACTGCCCATAGTTTCTGTTTTCCAGCCGTTGTCCCGCGTGGATGGTATTTATATAGCTCTTTCCTCCCACCTCCCAATCCATATTTACTGCCAAAAGCTGTTTTGTTTTTTTTTTAAAAAGAAAAATAGATCCGAGACAGCTTGTCATTGTCCTTTATTCTTTTCTTTGTCTTTATTAATTTTTCATGAGAGTATTAGCCAAAAGATTTACTTTCTGCATTAAAAAATACACACATCCTGACGTTTGCTCTAAGCAAACACGATGACACCTGGGGTTTTTAAGCTGCTTTCTCTTGCTTAAGCTATCGTAATGTGACATTTGCAAAAAGCAAAGATTTTCAATGGTTTATTACCCACAAGCATTCGCAAAGGACGCGTTGCTGAATACACATCACTGTTCGTACACTAAGCCAGAAACAGATATTAACATGTCTTTCCAGACTTATTTCTGGGCCAGTCAAACCTACAGCAAAATGAAGCTGCACTGTGGATTGCCCACTGCCAACAGCTGCATTTTCTTGCTCCTGCTGAGCAGCTTTCCAATTAAAAACCATCTCCTTCAGCACTTCTATCCAGCTCTGCCAAAGAGACAAGGCCTGTAATCCTGTTGCTTAGTCATGATGATCATCATTTTAGGACTGCAAAGCTGGAAGGGAGCCTATGGCTCATCAAGTCCAGCCCCTCTCAAGAAAGCCCAGTGGAGACTTGAAATTCCCAACCTTTGGCTTCGTAGCCAGATGGATTATGAACTCTTAAAGTGCAGGAGAGTAGGCCTACTGAATCAATGACAACTCGGTGACTTAACTCCTCTTTAAGTTCCATTGATTCAAATGAGTTTACTCTAATTATGCCTCATTTTAGTGTAGTAAGTCACAACCAGTGACACTCCTTTGAATCAATGGAATTGATTCATCAAAACCCTACCGATTCAATGAGCCTACTCTAGTATGATTTATTAGACTAAGCAACAGGATTTCAGCCAATGAGAAAGATATGGGCAGGCACTACTTGGAAGCAAATGAACCTCAAGGCTGACCCCAAGTTGTGGGGGCAAAGGGGAGCCATGACCAACAGGCCTTCTTGATGATGACATTTGGTGCTGAACACTTAAATATTACAGCATATTCTCCAGTTAAGATTTCCCCTCTAAAAACCAGAACATCCATTTACTAAATAAAGACCTAATACTAGATAATACTGTTCTCTTCGTTCCACCCCAATGAAAGGCAATATAAAGGACAATTTAAAAACTCTTTGTTCAGAAGCAAACTTTATGCGAGGCACCACTGTACTAGATAATATTGTTATCTTCGTCCCACCCCACTGAAAGGCAATTTAAAGGACAATTTAAAAACTTGTTGTTCGAGAAAGATAGAGAATTCACTTGGTAACAAACGACACCATCCAGCTATTTGACAAATAATAATATTCGTGTGCCATCAATTCTGACTGATGGCAACACCTTGTGGGGGTTTCCAGGTAAAGAATACTCAGAACTGGTTTGCCATTCCCTTCTTCTGGGGGGGGGGTGTGTTTCCCTTCCTCCCTTCTTCTGGGGGGGGGGGTGCCCTGGGACTGTGCAGCTTGCCCAAAGCCACACAGATTAGTTGTTCTCCCAGAAGGCACAGTGAGGACTCGAACTCCCTAACCTCTGGCTTCACAACCAGATACCTAAACCAATGAGCTATCTAGGCAGTGACTACATGCCAAAATCCTGCCTGAATTAAAACTAGCACCAAAAAAAGATGAGCAGGAGGAGAAGATATGTACATGTACAGAGGCTACCACTACAGGTACCCAAACATGGAGGGGAGCAATGCACATAAGCAAGTGGTGACAAAAGGGGCAGACCTTCATCTGTGCTAAGAATCTACCAATGTTCACACATTTCTTTACATTTAGAATGGAAAGGATCTGAGATTTATTTTTAATACCAAGTGTGCAAGAAGCTGAAGCTAACACAATGTTAATTTCTGGTCCAGGGATTATGAACTTTCACCTCTTTGAAAAATCTGTCTTTGAATCTCTGTGCGTTCAATGATATTTACAAGGCCACTAACTCTTTTTTACATTATGTGTTAATATCTCTTTGGCAGTCAGGCACAACCTGGTCTTTTTGTGCTCGGAATAGCTATACCTAGTGAAATCTGGCTTGTACAAATGAGACTTTTGTTTCTGTTTCTTTCTGATGAAATTTACTCAACTTTGTGAATTTCTTCATATTCTGGATAGAAAGAAGTGAAAAAATGCTGTCATTTCCCACAGTTTATGCTTCTTAAGAGGCAGCATAAGATATTGACAAAGAGATTGTGTGTCCAACTGGCTAGGGATTCTATGGTTCCCATCTTGCATTCTGCCATGAACTCCGGAGTGCCTGCTGCTCAGCAGATAACTCAAACATGGTTTACACTTCAAAATGTATACACAAACCATGGTCTTCTCGGCCTTTATTTTCCAGCTACTCGTCTTTCCCATATTTACAGCTGTACCTATCATGTCAATAGGAACAGAATATTTTTAAAATTTCTTAGACTACATATCCCATAATCCCCTATTTTGGGAGTTGAACCTGACTTACAGACGTTTAAATATGGCTCCCCTTGAGACACAATAGGGGACATACACTGTTAGAAATTTAACAAGTTTGGGAAATACCTAGAATTATTGTAACAATTAAGACACTTGTAGTGAGATACTTCAATGAATTTGGAAATGCTTGTCACTGATTGTCTGGTCTCATTTAGGGAATCACCCTTTACTGGGATAACATTAGCTATGACCAATCATAGGCTTCTGTTCTTTGCCTGAGAGATCTATAAATCTAGGGAAACAGGTATCCTTATTAGGTTCTGACAAATTGAGATAAAAAGCCTAAACTGAGAGGCTTTGAGGTTTTAGCTAGTCCTAGCTCCACCCAAGCCTGCTGTTCCTGCCCCTGTGCTCCAGTCTTTCTGAAGAGGATGCTAGGCAGAACTAGGCCTAGCTAAGCCTCAAAGCCTACCAGCTTAGGCCTTTTCTCCTAAATGTGAGTGAGCCACATTTAGATATTTGTAAGGTATGTGAAAATCAGGTAAAACTCCCAGAATTTGTAAAAAAAAAATAAATGGGATTTGTAGTCCAAGAAATTAACAAATCCCATCGCTACCTGTCTTTCAGCTGCAGTATCAAACCATAGTGAACATGAGCTATATATCTGTGAAGATTCTCTGTCACCAAGGTGTGTTTATCTGGAAGTTGCCATGACTCAACTTGCAGATAATATGAACTATAGTCTGTAAATAGTAGTGTCAGAAAATCACAGTCTGGCCGAAGACATATCACAACTTGTAAAAACAGATATCATGGTCAACCACAATTAAAGGATCCTTAAAAATATTTTAATGTGATGTCAGAATTAAGCCACTATTTGTTGTCTCAGCCTCCTTGACATATACAGTGTGGCTCTGGTTACTGATTCACCTCAGAAAGTTGCTGTAAGAATGACTGAGATAATATGCAGTCTTCTGACTACTCAAAACAAGTACATAAATGCTAATGATTACCATCATCATTATTATGGAAGATGGCTTTGTTGGTCATCTAGGATTACCTTCTTTTGCTCTTCAGCTCTATCTGTGCCAGGTGTTTTGGAGTCACTTAAAGGAGAAGGCATCGGTGTCACTGGCAGAACATGTGACTGGTCAGCATTTTCCAGCCTCTGGAAACTAGGCATCTTTTTGAGGGTGTCCTTCAACTGTCTGTATTCCTCCACCTGGGACTAGAAGTCAAATGGAACCATTGGACAGCACTGTCAAATGAACCGCTTCTTATTAAAAATGGCAGGGAAGTGGGTGGCACTGAAGCAAAATGGGCATTTTAACCAAACATGCACATCAGATCAAAAATGCCTCTGAGCGCAAGCTACATGTTTCTCTGCAAGAGAGCATGCCAATTTAATACATTATAGCAGGCATGCAAAGTCTAGCGGAAAATCCCCGTAGCTCAAAAACTGGGATTAGTTTTTCATGCTACGCAGAAGAAGAGAAGAGCAAACTGCCAGAAGTGAATTAGTACAGTCCCCTTCCAATAAAAAAGCATAAATAAAATAAATTCATGAATTTCTTTGAAAACACCCCTACCCCAGGGCTGCTGCCACCCCCCAAAAAATAAAATTTAATCTCATCAGTTGTTAGAGATGCATGTAAGAAAGACTGCTTCCCTTGCTTAATAAGAACACAAGAGGGATCTTGATGCATTGAACTGAAGGTTTATCTAATCCAACATCCTATATCCCACAGCAGCCATGGAGGTGCCCACACATAGCCCATTAGCCATACAGTATAAAATAAAAACCATCCAGAAGAAAAAGTGAAAGGCTGTAGCATGTGTGGTTCTGTAAGATCACACCTTGGGCCTACATATCTACAAAGTCACAATGAGGTGTGCCTGGAAAACACACCTTCCCACCCTATTCTTCAAACCGCATTCTTCCGCTTCACCCACTTTCAATTTCTTCTTCCTTCCACTCCAGTCCTTCACGTTTCCAATCACACACATTGTGTATGGAAGAATCTCAGCCTCCCACCTAGCTTAAAAACAGTATTTATGACACAGGGGTCAACTGCACGCACACAACAGCCACTCCTGCATGATTGTTCTCCCTCAACAAAGAGAGAGTGGATACTGCATAATGGAGGCACCTAACGCTGCAGATCTTCACATGGGGTGCTTGTGATATACGCTGTTATGGTGCACAAGTTTCTTTCATAAAACCATCCCGAGAATACCTGCTATGGGGTGGCACAGAAATACTGGAGATATGTGACTATAATACTTAGTAATGCCTTGCCAAGTGGAAGAGGTAAAAGCAAACAAAAAAACCACTTTAAAAAAAACCTGCATCATAAACATGATTAAAAACACATGCTAAATCCCTTAAGATATACACAATATACTGATCTATTGTGAAGTCTTAAAAGGAGAGTAAGACCTACTTTTCAACACACAGGAAAAAACCCTTTCCTTTGCTAGCAGAGTAGAAGGGATAGGCGCTAAGATGCATCACAGGACAAGTGATTTTGCTGAATTCAAAGGGCTCACTTCAAAGCAATAAGCAGGAACCATACAAAAGGTTGTTTAGTCGTTAAGTCGTGTCTGAATTTGTGACCCCATGGACCAGAGCATGCCAGGCCCTCCTGTCTTCCACTGCCTCCCAGAGTTGGGTCAAATTCATGGTGGTAGCTTCGATGACACTGTCCAACCATCTCGTCCTCTGTCCCGTCCCCTTCTCCTCTTGCCCTCACACTTTCCCAACATCAAGGTCTTTTCCAAGGAGTCTTCTCTTTTCATGAGATGGCCAAAGGATTGGAGCCTCAGCTTCAAGATCTGTCCTTCCAGTGAGCACTCAGGGTTGATTTCCTTCAAAATGGATAGGTTTGTTCTCCGTGCAGTCCAGGGGACTCTCAAGAGTCTCCTCCAGCACCACAATTCAAAAGTATCAATTGTTCAGCGGTCATTCTTCTTTATGGTCCAGCTTACTTCCATACATTGCTACTGGATAAACCATAGCTTTGACTGTGCGGACCTTGGTCGGCAAAATGATGTCTCTTTTTTTAAGATGCTATCTAAATATGTCATCGCTTTCCTCCCAAAAAGCAGACATGTTTTAATTTCGTGGCTGCTGTCACCATCTGCAGTGATCATGGAGCCCAAGAAAGTAAAATCTGTCACTGCCTCCATATCTTCCCCTTCTATTTGCCAGGACGTGACGGGACCAGTGGCCATGATCTTAGTCGTTTTGATGTTCAGCTTCAGACCGTTTTTTGCACTCTCCTCTTTCACCCTCATTACAAGGTTCCTTAATTCCTCCTTACTTTCTGCCATCAGAGTGGTATCATCTGCATAT